GGGGGGTTGTCCCCATCCTGGGTGACACATCCCCCCTCTAACACATGTGGGGGCACCCCAGGGTGCAACCCACCCCCTTGGGGAACCCCCTTCTGCACCCCTGGGTGCACCCCAGCCACGTTAGGGCACGGAACCCCATTTTCACCTGTCATGGTTTTGGCCGAAATCACCCCAAACGAACCAACAGATGGCCCTTCCCCCCCAAAAAAAAGAGGAGAGGAAGAGAGAAGGAGATTGAAAAGTTTAGAATGAACTAAACTGCTTTAATCAAAAAGAATATTAAAATAAAAGAGAGGAAAATAATGAAATAGATATAACATATATATACAAAAGAGTATCGAGCTCCCAGTATGACGGGCCCGTCACCAGCAGGCACTGGGGAAGGCCCAGACTGGTCTGTGATGGACAGGAGCAGGATTCCAGCTCTGGAGGCAGGAACACACGGATGGGGATCAAAGGCAGACGGACAGACAGGGTCCTCTTGGGACGTTGGCCATCGCAGGAGGAGAGTTGACCCTTTGGTCCCTCAGCTTTTACACTGAGCGTGGGGCAGATGGGATGGAACACCCCTGTGGGTCAGGTTTGGGTCACCTCTCCTGTCCCCTCCTCCCCACAGATGTGACCCCTCTACGTTTTTTTCCGTTTCCGACCCTCTAAGGGGCAAATACCGAAAAATTGGCTGCCCTTGGTTGTTAGAGCAATAAGTAGAAGCTCCTCTTCCTGGTATTTAACACCAACGTTGGTCTGATCACTCTGAGAAGGCCCAGTTTTCTCCGCAATGCGCCGTTAATTTCAGAGAGTTAGAAAAGGCCTCAAACTAAAATGCCAAGTTACAGAAGACAAAATTGATCCGGTTTCACCTCAAACCGGGACGTCACCCCATAGCGCACCCCGATATCGAATCCCTGGGGAATATCGGGGTTGGGGATGATGATGAAGGGGTGGGGAAGGTCTGGGAAGGTCTGACCTCCTTCTCCCCTCCGCAGCCGTGCAACGAGGCCGCATGGCTCACCCCCCCAGCAGCCCCGGCCAGTACCCCCTGGTCCAGGGGGACCCCTACGGTGGCCAAGGCTACTTGAGCGGCTTCATCTCCTTGCTCCTCCGCGCCGAACCCTACCCCCCGGCTCGTTACGGGGCCCAGTGCCTTCAACCCAACGGGGTGGTGGGCATCGAGGGCATCTGCGAACTGGCCGCCCGCCTCCTCTTCAGCGCCATCGAATGGGCCAAGGGCATCCCTTTCTTCCCGGATTTGCAGCTTTCGGATCAGGTGGCCTTGCTGCGGTTGGGTTGGAGCGAGCTCTTCGTCCTCAACGCGGCCCAGTCGGCTCTCCCCCTACACGCCGCCCCATTGTTGGCCGCCGCCGGGCTCCACGCGGCCCCCATGGCCGCCGACCGCGTGGTGGCCTTCATGGACCACATCCGCCTCTTCCAGGAGCAGGTGGAGAAGCTGAAGGCGCTGCGCGTGGACGCGGCCGAGTACGCCTGCCTCAAGGCGGTGGCCCTCTTCTCCCCCGGTGAGGGGGCGGGGCTTGGGGGGAGGGC